AGAAAAAAATTCTCATCCTTTCCTTTCCCTCCACTCTGCAACTCCAATAGTAGTCTCAGCACCAGTTACTTGTAACCAATTATTATTTCTCTTGCTCAAATCTCTTATTTTCAAATGAAACCAAGCACTTAAGGACCTGCTTATTCCCCTAAAATTAGTTATAACCTCTGAAGCTTCCTATGGCCTAGGAAAAGAATTTTAAAACTCATTTTGAACTCCAACTGATTCTGAATCAGAGGATGGTGTTTTATCAAATAAAATACAGTTTTATCAAGTCTTGTTTCTCTCTTCCTCAAAATGCTTAGGCTTTTTTGTCCAGAAATTGCATGAGAATTTGTAATGCAGAAGAGATCTCAAGTTGACCATACCTGCTTGTTAGCCATGGCATCCTCAACGCTGCGGCCAAACGGCTGTGTCCCAGTGAAACGCGGAGGACAAGGCAGGCAGTTGTACCCAGGTTCAGTGTTCTCACACCTGTGCACTCCATTGAAGACAAAGCAGGCATCAGGAACCTCTTTGCACTGAAATGAGGGATTGTGAGAAAGCACATTAATATTTTAAAGCACTGAGATTTTTCTCCCTTCCCACTCTCTTCTGTTCCGTTTCAAGTGTCAAACTATCCCTCTTACCTCATCAATATCCTGGCAGTGGACACCATCACCATGGTAGCCAGCTGGACAGGCTCCACACTTCCAGGAGCCATCAGGGGAGCTGGTACATGTTGTTCCCGCAAAGCAAGGATTAGACAGACACCCATCTGAAACAGAAATCAGGTAGTGTTAAGATGAGGAACACTTACCAAACCGCTGCAGTACTGAGTACTTTGCAGTATGCCACTTGAAAATTAAGACTTGTGTTTGGTGGACTTTAGCCATAATTAGTGCTTTCAAGATGGACCACCATCTTCAGATGCTTGCAGGAAAAGGTATACTCACCAACTGGGCAGTCCTGTTTGTTGCAGACCTGGGTCCCTTTGGCTTCACCTACACAAGTCTTCCCCCCATACTGAGGTTCTGGGTTATTGCAGAGACGACTGCGCTTTTGAAGTCCTCCACCACATGTGACAGTGCAGACATCCCATGGAGACCATGGCCCCCAGTTGCCATTAACTGAGAGAGGCAGAAATTAGGAGACAAGTTCAGATTTAAATTCAGCTGTATTACTAGTAAGCTCACTGACTATTGCTTTTAGAGTGAGAACAGTTCAGGTATTGTTCAGACAAACAACAGTTCTAATGGACTCCATGCAAGGGTCAGATCATAACTGCAACAGAAAATAGTTTGTCTGAAACCTCTTTAAGAGAGGACTACTAGGAACAGATAGCAACTGCCTATTCAAAAGTGTCACTATTTAAGCTGATGAACAGTAGTTGGTATCTGGACATACTTACTTGGGCAAGGATCTTTCTGGCAGGATTTGGTTTCTCTTGCTTCACCCTCACAAGGTTTCCCATTCAGCTGTGGTACTGGAGAGTTGCAGAGACGAATTCTAGTGATCATGCCCGTGCCACAAGTGACAGAACATGATGACCATGGTGACCAGTGGCTCCAGCCACCGTCCTGTTTAACTGCAGGATG